TATTATTATACTGTTATATTAGTATATATATATATATATATATATATATATATATATATTAGGTCATCAAGAAATTAATGTCACTCTTTTTAGATGAAAAAACCCAAACAACTTATATATCAAAACACAACATTTAGTAAATGAAATAGTCTCCATTCTTAGTGATGATGCTTTTCCATCTTACAATCATGTTGTTATTGCCCTGATTAAAGAAATCACTTGGCTTTGAAGCAAAAAACATGTTCATGTCCTCTTTAATACCTTCCACATGTGGATACGTTTTCTCATTAAGATGGTGTTCCAGTAAATTAAAAATATGGTAATCTGATGGTGCCATATCTGGAGAATATGGTGGGTGGGGGAGAACTTCCCAACCCAACTCCATAATCTTGTGTTGCTTTAAACATGCAACATGTGAACATGCATTGTCGTGGAGAAGAAGAACACCTTTCTGATTGATGAGTAAAGGGCGTTTCTGATGAAGGGCTTGATTTAAACATTCCAGTTGCTGACAATAGATCTCTGCATTGACAATTCACAGTGGATTGAGGAGTTCGAAATGAATTACTCCTTTGATGTCCCACCAAATGCAAAGTATCATTTTCTGCAGATGGAGTCCAGGTTTTGGGGTCGAAAGTAGTTTTTTATCTAGGACTAAGCTATTGTTTTTGGCATTTAATATTCACAGAGAGAATCCATTTTTCATCACCAGTGATAATTCTGTCCAAAAATCGTTCATGCGCATTGCGTGCCAGAAGAGACGAAAGAACGTTCACATGTTGGAAATGATGATCATCAGAGAGTTCATGATGCACCCAAACACCTTCTTCATGGAGTTTCCCCATATTCCTTAAATGTTAACATATTGTTTCAAAGAGACATGCAATTTCAGGGCCATTTCATGAGTGTGTTGCCTTTGGTTAGACTGAACAAGCATCTTCAGAGCATCAAAATGAATTCCAACATGTCAGCCCCTGTCACCACAGTTTTTAAGGCTAAAGTCACCTGAACAAAATTTGCTGAACTATCGTTGACACTTACGAACATTCAAAACATTTCCATAAACTTCTTTGATATTATTTGTGGCTACAGAGGTGTTGTTCCCGTTCCTGTATTCAAACAGTATTACATGCCGAATGTGTGCCTCATCATGTGCCATCACTATAAGGGATTAGAGTATACTAAACTTTACACATTATATAGGCTACATTAACATGACATTTAGGTGGTTCGTTTAACTATTATACGTGATGTAAGTTTTTTGGGGGTGATTAATGAAAATGTTCCAAAACGGTTAACAAGGGTCTACCAATTGAAAGTTCTTCAGTTTAGAATTACTATTTTTCTTCATGACCTCATGTCATGTTTTTCACTGTGTTAAGTGGTTTGGTATTGGAATAAAAAACAAACATAAGATAAAAAATCAATTAATAATATCACTCTAAATTAGTTTAAGGCAGAAATTCAAAATCTTCATATGCTGAGATTAATAAAAACTTTAACAACATAAGGATATATACTTTAATAAAAGATAACAAATAACACATTTATCTGTCTATTCAGAATAAAGCTTTAATGATGATGCTGCATAACTTAATACTAACTTATTTATTGTCACTAATTGTGGTTAATTGGTGAAGTTCCTTTTAACAAAATACTCACTTGCCAACAATAACTCGTCCTGCAAAAACATCATTACAGATGAGATGAGCAGATATAAGACACAGATTTTTTGGGGACTTATTGTACATTTATGGAATAGGCTACACTCAAAAAACTATTAAGAAGTTAAAGCCATTGTTGTTAATGTAACTTCTTCTTAATGTACCTTTAACCTTACAACTCCAATAATAATAATAACTTATTATCTTCATATGATATGCATGTTGCTATAAATTAGACTACAAAAGTTGAGCATAATATCAAAAGATAATAAATGTAACATCAAAGCTTACCTTTCTTTTCTCAGAATGACAACGGAGGCAGGTTTTCTCATTGGGATGATGGCTGGATGCCAGAGCTACATATGGTTTGCTTCTGACATGTCCAAACATTAGATGGTTGAAAAGTATGGAATGATCTGGAAATATTGGTCAGTTTATATTCTAATAAAAGTTGATACTTGATTCAAGTAGTTTGAAAATCTTGTTATAGGAAGTTGTTTACACCCTGCATGCATTATACAAATATTAACTTTATTGTCACATATGGTTTTTAACATTCAAAATATAATAAAGACTATTTTATTCTGAACAGAAAAACAAAAATCCAAACTTCATAATTGCTCTTCCCTAGTGAAAGTCCCAAATACCCAAGTTTTTAAGATATAAAATCCACAGGTTTTGAGGGAAAACCTATGTAGGTTTGTGTTTCCCAAGACCAATTGAACTTTATTCATTTGAAAGATTGATATGACCTCCACATTGTGACTAAAGTGAAAACTTGAGCAACTATAATTGACTACAAACACAAAAGTACGTAAAAACACCATCCCATCTCTATCTTCATGCAAGCAGATTACCTGTCAAGAAGTACACTTCTTGAATTACCTACTAAATATCTGAAATAACAATAAACCTAGAAATGTTATGTTGTTCATTATGCACATACAACAGTGAAACTTTATGCAGGTCTAGTTTAAAATATAATGTTCTAATCTAACTAATTTGTTTGCTAGAGGGAGTTGCTAAACAGGATGATGATGCTAAATCTAGAATGTTCTTAAAAGTTGTTCTGAAATACTCAAAAAGTTCATAATTATGTAATAATCTTGAGATTTTATGGAATTTAGATAAATGAAACAACATTATAGATACGAGTATTCAGTGTGTGAAGATTCAATAAGAATGGTATGGTTAAAATATTCAAAAATATGTCCTTTATTTTGAACTAGTGGCATTGCTGAAAATATCACATGAATAATATGCTTTTCAATGTTTTATTCAACTACTTTGCTATGTTACAAGTTCACTATCCTCCTACTCTTCAGTGGCTTTGCTAGAAATGTAAACTTTCAATATATTCTTCCACTTTGCTTATTTAAATATATCAGTAATATTCGGCATGAATAAACATAAGCTTAATATATACAAACATTAACATAGAAACTCACAGAGATTTAAAATTTGCAAATACATTTGTAATTTCTGTAAAACAGTCACAAATTCACAAAGTATTGTGAATACGACCTTCAATGACTTTTTTGTGGCATCCCCCAGTGGCTCAGTGATAAGTCTGAAGACTTACAATTCTAAAAACTGGGTTCAACACCCATGGTGGGCACAGCACAGATAGCCCATTTTATAGCTTTGCGTTTAACAACAAATAAAGAAACAAAACCTTTTGTGGACCGTGAGCCTGAAGCATGAACAGTTTTGAAAGGTAAAGTATTATAAAGGATGTTTTTAGTATAAACAAATACTACTGTGACTAACAGCAAATGATAAAACTTGGATAAATTTATATGAAATTGCACATCTATTTTTGCTATTAAGAAGTTTAAAAAATTAAATGTTAAAAACAATAGTAACTTTGATGGATTTGTTAAGTTTTCCCAAATACAGCATAAATGTTTTCAAAATAAATCTTGGGTTAATTTTCAAAATAAAATATAATAAACTAAACTATTGCTAACCTCTTTGATGTTCATTTTCATCTTGAATAACTTGCCTTAATAATTCCATTGATGTAAATTTTACTTTACTAGAGACAAAGAGTTTGAAAAATATGTCCAGAAATAATCTTTATTGGCAAGTAATAATATAAGTTGAATTTAATCAAAACAAAAATAAACTATTTATAAAATGAAAGAAGGTAAATTTGGAATATAATAAAAAAAGGTATATTGAAGTTATTTTGAAAGAAAATATATCTATGATATAAAGACAGAAATTAGTGCAGTTACAATTTAAGAAACTTTAAAATTTACAGTTTCAAGTCCCTACAGTTTTAAGGTTGGACTGATTTTTGTCCTTGAAAACATACTTCTACACAATCTGTTTATACATTGGTGATTTACTACTAAGATTCAAAATTCAACAAAAGCATGAAACCATGAATGGTGTAAAAATTAATTCAAATTATTTTAAGCTTAATACAAATATACATCAGCTTTAACCCTAAGATACAAAAGAAACAAAAAGTATCTATTACCTTTTCTTAAGGAATTTTTCTTCCCAACCTGTGTAGGTAACCATAAATTCCTGTTAAAAAATACATAGTAAAGTACTATTAGGAAAAAAATTGCATAATATCAATAAAATATAAAAAAAGTGCATATAAACATCCTAATATTTTTATGCACTAATAATCACATTTCACATTATTTCAAGCTCAAAGATTTAGATAGCTATCCATATAACTTAATATAATAGTCTACTTCAAATGGTGGTTATGTATGTCTGAATAGCTTTTAATTATGTATTTGTTCAATAAAGTTTAAAATGGTTTGTTTGTAATATTTTAAAAACAATGTATGACTTGTGTTAACAAAAATTGCAATAACAGACACACATTTTGTACAGAATGTACTAATCAAATGTGATGAAGGTGGTCAGGATTGAGTAAAAAAATAACCTTGATGAAAAAAAAAGAAAATGGTGGTTGTTGATCATAATACTTGCCAGAAATATCAACAAACAACAGCACAAATACACCAAGTCATCAGAGGTGACCTAGCATTAACATTCTGCCTGCACCTACAAGCACACTGTGCAAGCAAGACCTCCAAATTATGGAAATTATGATAGTGGCATAAAAAGCTATATAAAACAAAATGTCACAGCAAAGTGAAAAGCACAACTGTCAACAAGCAAAATATAAATTAAGGCACAAAAGCAGATTTAATGTAAGATCCTCTGACCTGTGCACAACAAGTTGCACAGAAGGTGGGAGAGTGGAGAATCATGGATAAGTGATGTATGCTGTGCAACACCGAAAGGACATTCTAGTCACATGTTTTATAAACAGCATTAATTCAAACTCAACAAGGATAAGCATCCAATAGTTTAAAGCAGATTTTCCCAAAGTGGGAGCCATGGCCCCTTGGGGGTTGTATAGCTTTTTCTGGAGGGCGGGGATGCCAAAAAAAGGGCAGAAAGCAAAGATTCTGAATTAATTTTGATTCTAAATAAACAATAAGCCGATAAAAGTTATACTGAATTAATTAAATGATACAGTATGTTGAAAGGAGATGTTATTGTTTTTACTACGGCAATGTTTTTCAATCTCCATGCTAAAGTTATAGGTTGGGGAGCCTCAAACTGAAAGAGTTTGGGAACCACTTAGAGGCAAGTCAACATCATGAGAATAAACAGCTTAATACTTAAAATTCACTTTCATCTAAATCAAAAACCATAACAATCATTGAAATCTAAACAATAACTGCTTTACTTTAGAAAGTACTTTTCAATTCAGAAATATAAATGTTTTACACTTTTAAATGTAGACTAAGAACTAAAGGTAAAATTTTTTTAACCTAAATACCATAAACGTGGTACATTCTTAAACAGCAATAAACTAAAATAGACTGCAACTATCTTATGGGTAACAGTCTGAAACCTGTACACATAAGTGAAAACAACAGTCAGTAGTAACAGCTTTCCTGCATAGTTCGGATATATCAGGATAAACATTTATACACACTGACCGCAAAATTTAGATTTACCCCACGACTCCCAAAAAAATTTCCCTCTTCTGCAACATGTGGAAATATCCCCCTGTGTACATGCTGCCATCTGTGTTCTATGTCATAAAACCTGGATGTTTATATGCCTCATTACAAAATTGTCAATTTGCAGGAACACACATATAATCTATACAGAGACAACTTCTGTATATCTTGGATATTGTTATCTAAATAATTTGTTTTATATTTTGGCCTCTTATTGACTTAGTTTTGCCTATATTTATTCCATTTACTAGAGAATGCTTTTCTTCTAACTTTCCTCAATTTTTTGTACAGTTTCATGGTTACATGATGATTAATGGGTCAGTCAAAATGAACAAGCCCATTTACAAAGAGTTAAAGGGTTAATGTGAAAACTGAAAAAACAAAGAAACTAATTGTACAAGGTCACGTGACTTACCCAGGCTTCCAAAAAATAAAGCACCACTTGAAACTGCCAAAGCCAATCCCAATTGGACTGGAGGAAATAAAATGTGGATTCTATGTTCAGGATCAAAGAATGGCTAAAAAAAAAAAGTTAAATTTGAAGAATGTGTAGTATAAAGGAAAACACTGTTTCAGCTATTCTTACTTACATATATATTTATACAGGGTGTCCCAAAATGAGTTTTGAATTTTGTTGTTATCTCAAATAATACAAATATTACTCAAGCTTCTAATATATGTATTTTTGGATACCCTGCATATAAATATACAACTGCTTACAATGATTCCAAGAATTCTAAGAACTTATGAGTGAAAGCAAAGAATATGTAATAATGTCAACCACACTAAATCTGTCATATACAGTGCTAGTTCAAAATAAAATTTAATCTTACATACAAAAATTTACAGCACTTTTCAATCATTATATTATGTCTGAATAGAATTATACATAGTCATTTATAAATATAATTACAAAGTATTTTCAAAACATATAAGTGATGGGTATTAATGTAAACTGTTCTCGCAACATTATCGTCACATAATTTTATTACAATGTGCATATTTAAGTAAGTTCTCATATTATTCCAAGACACCTGTATAAATATAACTTTCATTTATTACACCTAATCATTTTAACTATACTTATTTTATGTTGATGACAAAGTTTACAGATACCATAGAAAACTCTATTACAAACAAAATATAAAAAAGTAAAAGAAAAACATTTTGTCACAGTATGACAACATGACAATTATTTTATGTTACACGTACAAGCAAACTTCTTACCAACAGATGCTGGTTATACTTTATGCATTCTAGAATATCAGCTGTTTAATTCTCCTTAAATGTTAAATATGAATGCAGTAAATTGTTTATAATTTATGGCTATATATAAGTGTGTGTGTGTGTGTGTGTGTGTGTGTACATAGTGGTAGAAATTTAATAAACAAGCATCAATATTTTGACTCAAACATTTCTTGAAATATCACAACACATGTCAGTTGCAGTTATAAAATGATTCAATTTACTAGAAAGTAAAATTATTAAAATGATTTAATACATTTTTCGTACTATACACAAAGATAGTTCATCTTGGAGAAATGAACGATAGTTTTATGTTTGACTACAACAATTATCATAAATACCAATACACTGCCATTGCTAGATTAAATCTACTTTTTTTCACTAGATATATAATACTTACTCTGATGAAGTTAAACTACTACATATGTATTTTTATTATTTTTTAAAGTTTTCAGTGCTAATTGAAGAATAAAATATTTTCAATGAAGACAACTTCAGATGTTTTTTCCTTTTTCAAGGTTCTTCGAATGACATAACTTCTTGAAAAAGGCATAAGCCGAAACACCGGGTAGAATAAAACACATTTATCTGAAGTTGTTTGTCGTCTTCATTGAAAACACTTAAATACTTCTCTTTTCCCAAAAATATAATGCTCCTCTCATACAAGTAGTCCATACCCAATTTCTAAACTACAAAAGCATCCTGACCCATTCAATATTCTCTCACAATTTTAATACCATCCATAAATTTAGAAACATTAGTGTCCAAAATCTGTTAAAATTATTAACATATACATAATGAACAGAAATCAGAAATAAGATAGAAAGCCATACAATCTAACGAGGTCAGAGACACCTTTCATATATAATGAAGTAACTAAATAAAGGATCAAAACAAAATCTTAATGTCGCTCTTCAATTCCACATAACTATCTAACAAACATTTAAATGAACTTAAACTAGCATAGTATTAAACTACACGCCACATCTGTAGGCAAACATTAAAAAGTTTATAACTGTAACAAAAGAGATAATTTTGTCAAAAAAAGGATATGAATTTGGAGTTCTAAGGACTTAACTTGTACTACCTTAAATATTCAAGTTTGAATTTTCTGTCTTTTTGTTCCACCAATAACATGCAAATATCATCATAAACAAACTGTTGTGGAAGTGAAATAGTGTACTTTTGCCATGTATTACTGGATTAAATTTGTTGAAAAGTACATAAACTTATTAAACTGTAAATATGTGGAACGAGTGACCAATTCTTAAAATGACAGTACAATGCATAGTGATTTTTCAAGGCAGCTAATCTATACAAGTTGTCTAGATTAGACTTTTCCATTTTTTAGGCTTTTCCTAAGCACAATCATATTTGTTATATATTGGAAGCCATGAGTTATAAGACAAGCATGAAGGTTTCTTCCTGTTATTTAGTTCAATAATGGTTTGTACCTTTTAAGTTCCATAAATTCTCTACTAAAACACAGAAGCTCAATTCTATGAAACTTATAAGCATGTACATAATACTTACCAATAGCAGAAGCCATACAGTGAAATACATCAGTATGATGGTTCCTAATATCACAAGTAAAACCCCAAGCAGTCGGTCTTTTCCAATCATACTGCAATCTAAACAAACTATTTTTGATTTACGAAATAATATAGTAACTATTATGAAAAATTTAAATTTTGCATTTTCTATTCAGTATTATACCACAAATTATCTTCTTAAATTTTTTGGAAATAAGCATTAATCACAAATTTAGCATGTTGTATGTGAGCACTTTTATACATTCTTTTATGTTAGAAAAATTACACACAAAATCTACAACATTACTGTAGTGTTCTCATCTCAATATATTACATAATATATGGCTTTGAATTAATGAACACTTTTATATTGATACTTCCTATAAAACAAGTTTTAAATATGATAACCATGGACAATTTTCTAATGATGATTTAAAGTAATGTACAGATAACACACCTTTTAAGAACATATCTGAGGAAACATTTCTAAACCTGAATAAAAAAACCTTGTTTTAAAATATTTTCATAAATTATTACTAAAAAAAAGGCTTAGAGTTCCAAAATGAAATAACAGGAGAAAAAAAAAAGAAAAGCCATAAATATGGAAAATAATTCTTTTATGTATGCACTTGAAAATAACTTTTTTGGAATACTACTAAAATGGACAAACTTGCTACTTAGTGATGTAAATAGGCATGCAAAAAGTAACTACTAAGCATTTTTAGGAAAATTAGGAACCACTGAAGAAAATAAATCTGGAATTTTATAATATTTTTGATAATCCACTTTTAATACAAGATTCAATAAAACTAAAATAGAATAATACAGAAAATTGCTCTCCAAGGACAAAAAGTTAGAACAGATGCATTAGCAATATTTTTTGTTTGATTATGTAAGTGTTACCATAGAGTCTCAACCACTTTGTACCACAATTTTGGGGAAAAACGTACAACAAATTCTAAAACAGTATCAAAATTATGAAAACAAGTATCACAAGCCTTAAATTACTTTTTGGCTACTTCTTTCGGTAAGAGTTCCATATGGCACCCCCACTCAATTTAAAAAAAAATTCATCAAAGTAATATTTATGTATTAATAAGTCATATTAATAGTATGATCTGATAATTTTAATACATTATTATACCACTTACTTCATTAATTAGATGTACAATCTTCTTGGGGATAAACTTTACAAATGTCTTGTATAAAAGCATCAAAAAGGTTATTTTTATCGGAATATAATGTTCTCCACATGTATTCACACAAATGCTTGTCAAAGCCATGCCCCAATTTTTCTAATACGCCCCTTAAAATAAACCCTTTTCAGAATATTTTTTATCCAGGCAATTCTACAATTTTTGGGTGGGGGTGCCATATGGAACTCTTTCCCTTCTTTCTTCTAATACGTAATACCTTAACTTGCTAATTAATCAACTTGCAGTATATTCTTTCATTACGTGTATTATATATTTCATTATGCTTATAAGTAATGTTACGACAGCAGAAGTCACGCGACCTTGGGAGCATGCGCGCTGGAGTTTCTAAAAATATCATGACTTTTCCTGGCAACTCTAGTCTGTTTCAGCGCCCTCTGTTTAGTATATAAGCCCTGCAAATAAAGCGAGAACAAAAGTTACATAGATAGAGAGATTGAAGATAGAGATAATCGAGTCAAGCCGTAAGTAAAGTGTGTAAATCACTGTGATTTATAGCGCGTGTTCATAAAAGTAGTCAAGTTTAAACTGACTGTGGAAATTCTGTGTATTGCAAAGTTGTATTGAAAAAGAATAAACTAGTTTTATCTATGAAAGGACTTGTATCGCTGAAGCTCCTCGGAAAGAATTTATACCGGATATTAACAAACGAGCAGATAAGCAACAAATTGGTGTCAGAGAGTGGGAAGAAAAAAAAAGGAAACCAGAGGTGGGAAATCAAACTACAACTTAGCAGATTTGATGGTAACAATACAAGAAGAATGAGAAAAGAAACAAGAATAGAGACAGCAGCAGTGGCAAGAAAACCTGCAACAGTGGCAGCTCGAACAACAAAATAAACAAGAGAGATTACAGCAGTTGTTGGAGGAAAAAGAAAAGAAACATGAAGAGAGATTACATCAGTTGTTGGAGGACAAAGAAAACAAACAAGAAGAACGAGAAAATAAACAAGAAGAGAGACTACAGCAGTGGTTGGAGGAAAAAGAAAATAAACAAGAAGAAAGACTGCAGCAGTGGTTGGAGGAGAAAGAAAATAAACAAGAAGAGAGACTACAGCAGTGGCAAGAAAACCAGCACCACTGGCAACTGGAACAAGCAATGAAACAAGAAGAACGAGAAAAGAAACAGGAAGAAAGACTCCAACAGTTGAGAGAAATCCAGCACACACACACAAATAAAAAATATTAGTAAATTTCAAAGTGAATTGAATACATTAAAGAATGATTTATTGTCTTTTACACAAGGAGGATTCATTAAATATCAACTTAATCAGCCGCAGACTACGGTAAGCCTCTTCCGGTCCCCGCAGCTAAACCCTAATGCAGACATCTTCCAGATATAACTGTCAGTAATAGGAGTGATCAAGTACGAAGAAAGCCACAGGAATTCGATGGAAAGGTACTGTGGGAAGCATATAGAGCACAATTTGAGCTACTGGCAGAAATGAACGGATGG